TATCAAAACCAGTTGGCCCAATTAGATAGGTCTTCTTATCAGGTCCATTAAATTAACTTGAGAAAGAAGTTCATGCAAATCATTGAGTTTCAGGGTTGGGCGTGGGTGGGGTTGAATTGATTTTAAATCCAACTCAAACCCAACTTAACATATTCGATTTGACAATAATTCAAACCTAAACTAATCCATTCACAATTGAAACTCAACTCAATTCAAACCGACCAAACTCGAGTTGATTTTATTGTACTCCTGTGAAGCCCTAATAATTTTAAAAGACAAGATTCTAAGATATAATCCGAAAATATAAAGTATGTAAATTACATGACAAAGTACAAATTACCTGTTAAGACGCACCCATTCTTTATCCATAATTTGAGGAAACCCAAATTTTATCCTACTCTAACACAAGAACTGTGAATGAACCGATAACACAAGAACTGTTAATTGGTTTGTCTAACCAATCCTGCAAGTAGACACAACTAACTAAGCCATGAATGGAAGTCAGGAAAATCATTCAAAACAAAGAAACTATCATGCAATAGACAGAATGAACATGACCAGGTTGAGTACCATATGTAATACCTTAATGACATAATTTCAATGAATAAGACTAGGAAGAGTACAATTGGTAAGTTAGAACTTTGAACTTTGGAGAAGTACTTTGGTGTTGTTGGAGTTGTGACATTTTACAAGTTAGTGTATTGTCAAGTATGGTATGTATAAGAGTTGATAGAATAGTTGGTATACAAAGTGTACAAGTTTGGCTATATATAGAGCCAAGTTTCATGTAAAATTATGAAGTGAATATTATTCAAAATGGTGATAGAATTCCTTCTTCTCCGTGAATTCAAACCAGCAATAGCAGAGCATATATTTCTGTTTTGTGAATCCTTACTTCATAACCGGTATATAAATCATGTTTTTCATCTCCTGCACATCCTCCCAATCCATATAAAATCTATCAAACATAAGAGCTCTCTTTAAAGAGCTTTAGATCAATGAATTCCAACAGGTTTCATAAGGAGTTTCAATTAAGTGTCACAATGGCAGAGTCATGTCTGTGCCTGTCGCATATATACATGCAAAGGGCAATGAGAAAAACAGTCACACAGAGTACAGAATTACACATACACGTACATATTTCTAACATTTGTATGCACACTGGGCATTCATTGTTTCTGTTTTGGCCTCTTTGTTCATGCATCAGCCAAATCCCAGTAAAGTAGGAGTTTTATCAGTGTAAGGATTATTTTGTTGGACTTTTCTGTATCTAATAACACATTTGAAAACTCAAAAGATAAATAATAGATCAATTACCAATAATTAAAAGCTTCTGATGAGTAGCAGAGAAAGTGTTCTTCTTGACAGTTTAGACTCCTCTTCTGTGAAGAAACTGGATTCAACACCAAGAAGCCATGATTGGAAACTAAATTAATCAAACAAAAATCTCAACACATCNCCACTTAAGAATTAAATGAGAAACTGGATTCAACTCCATGAAGCCATGAAGGGAAACTAAATAAATCAAACAATAATCTCAACACATCGAGCAATATTATTCAATTTTTTGAATGCAAGAAACAATCCATCCAAACAGTAACAACGGCTGCTCTTTTCAATGCCATTCTGTAAATTTTCCTAAATAACTCCATTAAACACATTCATGAGTTCATCATCAGAAATTGGGGATACAGAAATTGGAAGCCAATTAAGAACCCCAAAAAAAGAAAAAATACCTTCGAAATTGCCGATTTCCCGAATCAATCTCTTCGAATTCCCGATTCAAACCGTATTCGACAATTGAAACATGTAGAAACTGCAACCAAAGATGGAAATCAGCAACAAGATATGAAAAATTGAGGATGAATTCATATCTATATGGGGGGAGGATTTTCTGAAAAAATTACAGAGAGGCAGAGGCG